ACTGTGATTTATAGCGTGTGTTATAAGGGTTGTTAAGTTTAAAGGACTGTGGAAATTCTGTGTATTACAAAAAGTTGTATCAAGAAAGAATAAACTAGTTTTAATCAAGAAGGGACTTGTATCACTGAAGTTTCTCGGAAAGAATTTTTACTGGAAATTAACAAACAAGCAGATATGCAATAATAGGGATAAGGTACTAAAAAGAGAGGGAGGAGGGGCTTAAAATGTAAAATGTGAGTAACATCCTGTTGAAGTTGAGGATATCAAAGATAACAGCAAGGAGATCAAGACCATTTGGGTTTCTATTAGCAGATATAAAGGGAAAAGGCTTTTAGTGGGAATTTGTTACAATCCACCAGATGGTACTGATGAAATTAGTGAGAAACTTTACATTGAGGTCAAGATTTCAGCTGTTAAAGAAATTATAATTATAAGTGATTTCAATTTCAGGCAGATAGATTGGGAAATTCTAAGAGTTAAACCATAAGGGAGAAAGGTTTTTGGAAACTGTTCAGGATGGCATTCTTCACCAGTTAGTCAAGGAACCTACTAGAAACAATACTAGTTTAGATTTATTGTTAACTTCTAATACAGAATTTGTTGAGAGGGTGGAAATTGGGGAACATCTGGATGTAATACATTATTGCTGTATTAGGTTTGACATTTTGCTGCATGTGAAGATCAGAAATAATGATATTTTGGTTACAAGTTTTGAAAAAGCAAATTTTGAAGGGATGCAACAAGAATTATCTGTTGTGAACTGGGCAACTGAAGTATTTGGAAACACTGATAAAATGTGGAAAATATTTAAGAATAAATTCTTAAATATTCAAGATAAACATATTCCTTATAGAAAGAAAAGGGTGGCTGCAAGTAAAAAACCAGGTTGGCTAACAAAGGGCATAAGAGATAAGATTAAAGAAAAGCATTACAAGTTTAAGAAATTTATATTGACTTGTAAGGCAAAAAGATTATAAAAGACCAAGAAAGTTGGTCAAACAGAAAATTATGGCATCAAAAAGGGTGTATGAAAAAAGATTAGCTTAAAATGTAAAAATTAACAGTAAGGATTTCTTTAAGTTCATTAAGGGTAAACAAAATGTTAGGATTGGAGTAGGACCCTTGAGGGATGATATAGAAAGACTTGTATCTGATGACTATGAGATGGCTAGGTTATTAAATTCTGTTTTTTCTTAATTTTTACTAATGAAGATTAAGGCAGTATTCCTCATCTTGAACAGTTGATAGATGGAAACAAGATCGAACTAGATGACTGCATTACTGAGATTGTTAAGAAAAAATTGGGAAGTTTAAAAATAATTATGCCCTGGGCCAGATAATATTTCCCCAAGGGTTTTGAAGGAAGTTAAAGATTGGATATGTAAGACACTTGTTACTATTTTTTGTAAGTCCTTGAATAGTGGGCAGGTACCAATAAATAACTTAAATTTGCTAATGATATTAAGATCTTGGGTGTTACTAACTGTGAAGAGAATGCTGTTGCTTTACAAAAGGATTTAGGTCATTTAGTGGGTTGGGGAAATAAATGGCAGAGAGGTTTAAATTATAATAAATGCAAGATAATGTGTGTGAATTATCGTATCTTAAATTACAAATATAATTTGAATGAGAATAACCTTAATAGTGTCATGAGAGAAGTTCCATGTAAAAGTTTAAGCTCCTCTTGAAATCCTGCTGCCATATCCCACAGTTTACCTTTCTCTTTATTTATTGCCTCTACTTTAATTAGGATAGCCTCCAACCTACAAACGCTACATACAAATTGCACATCTTCACCACTAGCTTCTTTACAGTTAAACGTATGTACCTGTCTAAAGTTCCCAAACACAACCCACTCATTGCACCCATCACACCTAACAAACTGTGAATGCTTAAGTCCAACACTAGTCTTAACCACTGTATTTGTAGAATGGAAATAAATACTCATTAGTAAATACCAGTAGCCTATTGCCAACACTGTTAACTTATTGTTAAGTATAATAAATGTATAATACACATAACTGGCCCAACATGGCCAAGTAGTTATATTGCTCGACTTGCAATCTGTGGGTTTGCATCCCCGTCCCACCAAACATGCTCGCCCTTTCAGCCGTGGTGGCATTATAATGTGACGGTCAATCCCACTATTCATTGGTAAAAGAGTAGCCCAAAAGTTGGCAGTGGGTGGTGATGACTAGCTGCCTTCCCTTTAATCTTACACTGCTAAATTAAGGATGGCTTGCGCAGATAGCCCTTGTGTAGGTTTGCGCAAAATTCAAAAACAAACAAAAACAAAATACACATAATTTGTCTATAACAAATTAATGGTAATAATACCTTAGGTTGTAACACAGTATGTGTCAAACATTCATGCACTGAGCTGGCATAATTGACCAACAGTTAATTTCAAACAATTCGTTACACCAAGACTCATCAAACAGTTACTTTTTATTGAATTATAAATATTATAATAATACGTTACGGCAGTATTTTACGAACTTTAAATAGCGGCGCCCCCCTGATACAGCAAAATTTATGTTGCACACACTCCCTTTACAAATTACATCAAAGTGATAGTTTTATTAAATTACTATTGTCTCCAAATTTTTTGTTTCTTTTGTCGTTATTTGAGGGGAGGGGGGGTCACAGTTTGGAAAACACTGCATTACGATCTAAATATAAGACTAATAATAATACAAATTGTAATACATACCGTAGTCTAGACTAACTTAGATTAGAAACATCATCCGATACATATGCGCAATAATTTACAGTGCAACACTAAAAATTAAACTAACAATATACATGAAAAACAAGAATGCCTACTACATCGTTAGAATACTGTATATAAAAATGCCACAAGTTGTTACAAAAATATGTATATTAGCCTTCTTCAAATTCAATAACTTCTCGGAATTATTGTAAACAAAACATGAACCGACGAACGCCCTCTGGTGACTTCATATACTAAATTAAAAATTTTGAATGAAACTAAGTTGAATGGACGGCAATTGCTTGTTGTAGAAACACAATTATAGATGACATTTTGGAAGTCTTTCGCCTTACGCCTTGCAAATCTCATCGTGATTTGTGATGGAAGTCTGTAATCCATGGAAACAAATTATTGTACTGAAATATACAGAAATAAAGTATTGTTACGTCTCCGTTCGTTAATTGATTTTCCGTAAATTCGTTCCGACGAAGCTTTAGCGACACAAGTCCTTTCTTAAATAAAACTGGTTTATTCTTTCCGAATATAACTTTACCGATACACTTATTTTCGACAGTCGCTCTATAACAAATGCGATAACAACGAACGTTAACTTCAACAATACTTTCTGACTGCAGTTCAATTACTCACCATCTTATATATACCAGACTACCCTATATCTAGTAATCTCCTGACAATTCCCGAAGGTTCGAGAGAAGGAGTGGCGTGATACTAGTCACGTGAACTCGCTGACGCAACACTGCCCCCCTCCTTTGTATTGTTCGTCCCGAACAATAGCCACTTACAATAAACCAATAACAATTAACAATAACTTAATTAAATGTACAGAATTACACACACAAAATTACTATTCAATAAAGTCTCTTAATTTTACGGGACGT